CAACGACTCTGTTGATGTTTGTCGGGTTCAGGAGCTGCAGCAGGTCGACAGGAGACCCCCCCCCCCCCCCTCCCCGCCCCAGGAACGTGAAGGTGACGGTGGTTCAGTGGATGAATGTCCAGACTGTCTGATATCTGTGAGTTGTGCAAACGTTGTGCTGAGTCAACACGGGCCGAGTCATTAAGTCGGAGTCAGCAGCTCACCTTTGTACCGGCGAGCACCGGGCCCAGGGATCCGTCTGGAACTCGACCCAAAATCACAACCGGGTCTAATTTAAAACGGAGCCGAGTTCCCAAACGAACACGAATGTGAGCAGACAAGACGCCGACCGGCGTTCTTCCTCCTCTTATTCAACCTCTGCTTCAACAAAACCCACGTCAACAAGCGTCCGGCTGCAGAGAGCGGCTCGGACGCAGAAACTTTTACTGATCGGCCGAAGAAGACTCACCTGACGACACGGTTCCCTCCATGCTGCGCGCTCATCCCAGCAGGTTCCAGCCAGCAGTTCCTCCTGGTTCCTCAGAGCTCCTCTACGTGTCACCGCACCAGCAGCCCTTTGCTCCGTCGTATAAATAGCAACGCTGAGTTTCCTGATTTTGGTAGCTCTGCCCCACTTCCTGCAACCGTTGAAGAAGTGAGAAAAGTGTCGGTGCAGACAGAAGGGCGGCCTGCAGACGCCGCTCACGCCGCCAGCAAGAAAAACTGCGTTTTCACCGAAAGCTCAAGTGAAACGAGTGAAACTTGATGGTTTTCCAGCGGCTCGTCCGTCTCGTCCGGTTCTCGTTCCCTTTCAGTAAAAAACTTTCTGCATGAACTCACCTGTTGTTCACTCTTCTTCTGTTTTTTCACTTCCTCAACGTGACGCCGTGCGTTCCGCGCTGACCTCAGATCAGAAACAACAACAGTTTCACAGCAGCGCTGCAGCCAAGACCACCTGACCCCAGAACAGGTCCAGACCTCCAGTCCCGGATTATCACAGATTATCCGTCTTCTACGATAAATGTCACGACAAAGTGAGAGTTTGAACAAATATGTAAGAAACATGTCATTTTATTAATTTTTTTTAAATTAAAGTGACATTCTGCAGCTTTGTTTGCTTTTGAATAAATAAAATAAATAAATAAATACATTTTCAAAACATAAATAAATCACATTCTGTGGTTTTTACACAATCATTCGGGTCATGTGACCCCCTGACACCAAATTATGTTAAACTTCTCTAACAGACCCGACAGACGAGGCACCTCATTTATTTATCATTTTAAAGCAGTTTCTAATTTTACACAAGTTATTTGTTCAAAAATCACGGTTTAATAACTAATTAGAAAATGTTTTAAAATGAGAAATAAATGACGGCGTCGTGCGTCAGGTTCAACATTAGTTTGGTGTCACATGATGTAAAATATATTAGTGTTTGTTTCTGAAACTGTTCGGTAATTTGTTGACGCTCCCTAAGCTCAGCTGGCTGAAATCAGACTTCCTGCTTCGGCTCGAACGAGAGCAACGCACCGCTGAAGACACGGCGCTCCAACGTAGAACCAACTTCACCGCGGTGGAGGGACGAGGCTCCGGCACCAACACTTCAGGAACAACTTGAAACGAGAACATAAATCTACGAACTGGTTACGTCGTGTTTTAGACCATGATTCTGACCCAAAGTGCAGCCGTGACTGGTTCTGAACGAGGCTTTACAGCTGCTCCCAGCTCTCCCAGCTACTGCGTACTGGTGCAGAATCTTTTAGTGGTACCCAGTACCGGACTGGTTTACTTTCACCCCTGGTGTGACGTTACGTTCTGCTGGTACAGAACCAGTGACAGGAAGTGGACGTGACACGTGTAACACGTGTGTAGCAACGAGTCACGATGTCGCTTCGATTTCAATCAGAACGACCTGATTTTTGTTCCCACCAGTAAACTTCACTGGGTGTTTCTGAGCAGACCAGTGTCTGACGACGAATGGTTTAACTCCAAAGGTGCCAGATGTGCAGCCACTTTTTACTTTATGAGTTCCACCTGAATCCGTTCAGTGGTTCATGAGATGTTTTACTAACAGACAAACGGCGGTCGATGCAAAGATTCTTCTCTCAGCTGGTTCTTCAGCTGGTTCTTCAGCTGGTTCCTAAGCTGGTTCCTCAGCTGGTTCCTCAGCTGGTTCCACAGCTGGTTCTTCAGCTGGTTCCACAGCTGGTTCTTCAGCTGGTTCTTCAGCTGGTTCCTCAGCTGGTTCTTCAGCTGGTTC